CGAAGGGCTGCAACGGAGCCACGAAGGGCAGCGAGATCCTGATTCCTAAGTAAGGTGTGAGAGAGTCATAGGCGTGAGCGCAGTTCCTGGGTGCCTGAGTGTCGGGAGCGCGGCGCTTGAGTAAATTGCGGGGAATTCCAACGCAAGAGCGCGATTCTTGAATAACTTTGTAAAGAAGTTTCCAGCGAAAGCGCGACTCCAGAGCGCCGAAAGAACGATTATTGTATGAGTTGGAAGGAGAGTGCGATTCCTGAGTACAATGCGAGGAAGTCTCAGGCGGCAGCCGTTGTTGTTGCTGTAGCCCAGGAGCCAGGGGCACAGTTTGACCTTCGTGACTTTCCCTGGTAAACAACAGGGTGCGAGCCCCAGGGAAAGCACTTCAATTGGAAAAACACATGGCCACCGGAGGGGGGCGGATCAACCATATTTATTTTTCAGTAGTGAGAGTTCAACAGCATGTCTTGCCTTATGTAGCCATTTTTGTTCAAAACCTCCCAGACGTCGACCCGCCGCATCCCAACCTTCGCCCACGTCCCGACGCGCGCGAGCGGGCTCGCCGCCGCTGTTACGGGAGGTTGCCGATTAAGATGTCGGCCGTCGGTGCGATGGCGCAGACGAAGGGGCAGCGGGACGCACTCGCCCTCATCAGCACGCCAGCGCGTTTGAGGTCGAAGGGGCGGGGGGAAGCGATCGCCCTCCTCAACACGGAGCCACGAGGGTGCGCCGACAAGGCGGGAGCGCAAAAGGAGTGGCCAGTGTGGCGGTTGAGCCTCGTCGCGCTTCCGTGCATGTCGATCACGGTCGTGTGGTCGGTCATTATGCCGTGCAGCGCGCCTTACCTGGTGGCGCTCGGGATGAGCCCCGCCTCGGCAACCCTCAACAACATAGCGGGCCCGATCTGCGGCTTCTTCACCTGCCCGCTGGTGGGCGCGCTGTCCGACTCGTCGACCTCCGCCTACGGGCGCAGGAGGCCGATCATCGTGGCCGCGCTCGGTGCCTTGTGGGTGTTTGGGCTCCTCTTCGCCTCCAGCACGGCCTTGCTGCCCGCCGACGCGGCCGCGGGCTTTGCTGCTTGCATGCTGTGGCTGATCGACATTGCGCTCAACGCGCTGTCGACGCCTATGAGGGTGCTGGTGGCGGACCTCGCGTCGAGCGGCCAGCAGGTGCAGGTGCAGGTGCTGGTCGCCTGCTTCCAGGCGGTCGGCTTCCTGGTCGGCTTTTCCACCATGAAGGTCTACGGCGGCGACGGCGGCCTGTCGAAGCACATGCTCGAGATCATGGTCGTGGTGTGCTGCATTCTCACGGCGGCGGTCGCCGTCATGCTCTGCGTGGCCGTGGAGAAGCCGCTGGCGGGCGGTGGCGCCGCCAGGCAGTCCAGCCCCGTGTCGGACGTGCTGGAGGCCGTGCGGGGGAGCTCCCTCCTGCTGAGGCGGCTGGCCGGCGTGCATTGCCTGGTGTTCGTCGGCGCGACGGTGTGGCTCTCGTACTCCGTGCAGTGGTTCGGCCTTTGCGTGTTCGCGGGCGATCCCGTCGCGCCCCCGGGCTCCGAGGCCCATCGCTCGTACGCATCGGGCCAGGAGGCCTTCGCGTACGGGGGGCAGTGCGGCTCGCTGCTGAAGTTGCTCATGTCCCTGCTCCTCGTCGTCGCCATCCACAGGACCTCGCTGCCCCCCAAGGGCGTCTACGCCGCCTGCATCTTCGTCGGGGCGGGCGTCAGCTACGCGGCCGCGTTCTTCGTGAAGCACAACGCCGACTTCGCGACGGCTTGCATGGTGCTGTCGGTGCTGCCCTGCGTGGGCTCGCAGGGCATCCCCTGGGGCCTTATCGCCGCCAGCAACAGGGCTGCCGAGGAGCGGGGGCTTCCTGTCAGCACCGCGTTGCAGATGGCCCTCTTGAACTGCGGCCTCGTGCTCGGCCAGCAGCTCACCCACCTGACGCTTGCTGCGATGGAGAGCTTCGTGGCGCCCACGCTGGCGCTCCCCGCCATGCTGGCCGCTGGCGCGGTGGCACTGACCATGGCGGGCGCTGGCGCGCTCCTGCTCCCGAGCGGCGCCGAGGAGCACGACGCGCTGGGCGCGGGCCAGCACACCGGCGGAGCGGACCTGGAGCTCAGCCCCCCCACCCCCCATGAGCGCAACGGCGCCGACCTCTGACGTGCAGAAGAGCGCGTAAGAGCGCAAGGCGCACAGCGCGAAGGCGCGAGAGCGCGAGAGCGCGAGAGCGTGAGAGCGCGAGAGCGCAAGAGCGCAAGAGCGCAAGAGCGCAATACCATTTTGATTGTTTTAGATAGGCCGACCAGCGCACGACGACCAGGCTTGGCCGGTCAATGTTGCTTTTGGTATAATTTGGTCACGGACGACCAGCTCAAGATGTCCAGCGACTGCTTGGTGCACGGTTTGCGTGGTGAGGTCGCCATCACCGCTGCCCCTGGCAACTCTGAACACTCCTGGGGCGTATTTGACTTGGCGCAGCTGGAGCGATCTGCTGTTCAGCTTTTGAGTGTGGCTCTGACAGGCAGCCAGGCTCGGTACGACTCCCCTCCCATTGCGTAGTTGTCAATCTTTGCGCAGGCCCGCCCTGCGCAAGGCGGTCGGCATGGAGAGTTGACAGGCGCGGGCGCGCGACGCGGAAAGGTGGGGTTGGCTGTAGTAAGTGCTGATTTAGGCACTGGGCACTACATGCTGGCATGTTTAAATAATTCGGGGGGGGAGAAGTACATGTCTTTCTTCTCCGTCAATGCATGGCGGAGTTCCGCTGCCTTTGGGTGTCGTGCGCGACCAAAAAGCAGCAACAGTATGTTTTGCCACCGTGCGCCACGCTTCAGCATGCCACATTCATCAATCTTGATGCCACCCCTTATAGGGGAACTGAATGAAGAAAAGGGGGCGATATTTCCACCCAGTTCTCCCGCCTAAGGAGGTCGAGCCAATACCTTTCTCGAGGCACATTCCCAGTTTCCAGTTTCAGCTCGCAAGACACATAAACAGTGGTGCGACTATGGGGAGCGGTGAGGATTCAAAACACGACGGATGCGAGCCCAAGGAGGGGGGCCACATGTAGGAACATACATAGAACACTTTGGACTTCAGCCCCTGTCGAGGGGATTCTACAGCAACGTGCGTAAATTTCTGGATTCAAGCCCCTGTCGAGGGGATTATACAGGAACATCCGTGAAGCACAGAGGGTTCGAGCCCTAGGAGAGGGGCAATGTGTAGGAACATACGTGGGACACTACAGGATTCGAGCCCCAGTCGAAGGACATCCATGGGAACAGACGCGAAGCACAGGATTCGAGCCCGCGCTGAGAGGGCAATGCGTAGGAGCAGATGCGAACACGCAGTGGATCAGGGGGAGAGGGGGCAGCCTCCAGGAGCAGACGCGGGGCACACGGGGCTCGAGCCCCAGGCGAGGGGGGGCGGCGAAGCCTCTGGGGGCGGAGCCTCCGGGGGGCCGAAGAGCACTTCCCGAGCACATGCTGCAGCACAGAGAAGGGCCTCATAGGGGCCTCCCGGGGGCACTTTTTCCCAACCCTCCTGTGGTGTGGGGTACTTGTTGTTCCCCACATCCAGAGCGGGGCTCTCGTTTTCTCTGGGCACCTCGCGCAGGAACCTCACCTCACCTCCCAACCCCTCTCCCCTTCACTCACCTTCATCATCATCATCATCATCTTCATCACCACTCATCGCCACTACTCATCGTCATCCTCATCATCGTCACCATCATCATCATACTCAATCATCATCATCATCATCATCATCATCATCATCATCATCATCATCATCATCATCATCATCATCATCATCATCATCATCATCATCATCATTCACACTCACACCATTCTCATCCTCATCATCAAGAACATCCTCATCATTCGATCAATCATCATCATTGTCATCCTCACCCTTATCAACGTCATCATCATTCGGTCACTCATCAGCATCACCACTCATCATCACCAGCATCATCCTCATCACCACTCGCTCACGTCATCACTTCGTCACCACTCACTCCCTAGCTTGAATCTGAGGGAAGTCTCGAGCGGGAGCCTCGTGTGTGAGTGAAGTGCGGGGAGGTCTCAGGCGGGAGCCCCTCTCCCTATGGTGCCCGCACCTCATCTTTATAATCCGAGCGGGCCATCGGGATACTGTAACTGTCGTCACTTTTGGGCTCTTGAGGTCTGAGTATGGGGGAAGTATCAAGCGGGAGCCTCGTCTGTGAGTGAATTGCGAGGAAGTCTCAGGCGGGAACCCTCTCCCTATGGGGCCCGCACTTTATCTTTTTAATCCGAGCGGGTCATCGGAACCCTGTAACCGTCGTCACTTTTGGGCTTCTGAGGCCTGAATATGGAGGAGGTATCAGGCGGGAGCCTTGTCTGTCAGTGAAATGCGAGGAAGTCTCAGGCGGGAGCCTCCTCCCTATGGGGCCCGGACCTTATGTTATTCATCCGAGCGAGTCATCCCAACCGTGGAACCGTTGTCATTTTGGGGTTCCTGAAGGGGGTGGTTATGGAGCAAGTATCCTGCGGGAGCCTCGTCTGTGAGTGAAATGCGAGGAAGTCTCAGGCGGGAAGTCCCTCCCTATGGGGCTCGCATTTTATTAATCCGAGCGGGTCATCCTCGAAGCTATAACTGTCATCCCTTTGGGGCTCCTGAGGCCTGAATATGGGGGAAGTATCCTGCGGGAGCCTCGTCTGTGAGTGAACTGTGAGGAAGTCTCAGGCGGGAGCCAGGGATGGCGTACGGCGGCGGCATTGGATAAGGAACGTCTTCCTGGGGCCCAGACCCTGGCGCATTCCTTTTGTTTCAAGGCGACGTGGGTGGCCGACGTTTGGCCGCCCGTCGGTCGCGAGACCTTGGGCCCCTTCTCGAAGGCATCCATATCTAAAGCCTCCACCGTAATACCGTTCGGCACCCTCACCCTGAGGTGTACCTTTCCCTCTCCCTCCAGCGCTGGGGAACCTCTTTGGCCGCGGCCTCGAACGCGCACGGGGATCCGCCGAGGCCATGCCCGTGCTGGAGGCCTCCGCCTCCGCCGCGCTGCTGAGCAGGGCCCCGGCCGCCGCAGCGGGCGGCTCCCGGCTGGAGCTGGCAGCCCGGGGGAAGCTGGAGGAGCGCCGCGGGGCCTCGGGGGGAGGGCTTCCCTGACCTTCTATGAGGGCTAAAAAAATGTCACCAGGACGTCGGCGTCCTGATTCCAACCTATGGTGGTGGGGGTGGAGGAGGACGAGGACCCCCTCCCCCTCCAACTCATGGTGGTGGGGGTGGGAAACAGGCCCATCAGTGGGGGGGGCGGAGGGAGGAGGGAGAGAGGAGCCCTCGGTTCCGGTCGGAATGTTTTGTGATGTGGCGTTTCTTTTGCAAGGTCGACTCTCAGGGAGAGGGGATGATCAGAGGAGGAGAGGGTGCTGCAGCCCTTGACAAGGTTTCGCCTTCTTGGGCCTCCTGGGAGGCCCTCGTCGCCGCGGCCCAAGTCGCCTCGAAGCTTTGGTCAGAGAGCGCCTTGGGAGAGGTCTGGGGAGTATTGGTGTCGGCACCCGCTTGACCCCCAAGAAGGAAGAGGGGGGAGGAAGGAGGGACAGGGAGGAGGGAGGGAGGAGGACACAACGCCACTTCAGCCCGACGGTCTCCAAGCCTGGTGCGGCCTAGCCCAGGACCACTTGGGGGGTGGGGGTCACCGGGGCGTGCGCAATAGGCCCTGCTTGTGCAGGACCTCGGAGTTGCTGAAAGCATCAACGGGGATAATGAACGTAACGCTGGATCTGTCATGCAGTGGATCGCTAAGAAAATGACTGATCCGAACAGTCAAAGGCCACGTGTACAATCACGAAATCAAGCGGCCACCGTGCATCACAGGGATCACGTATACTGATACTAAGCCCGCCGATACCTCAACCTATCTTTTCAAGCAGCTGAGCCATATCGTGAAAGTCTGAAGCGTCTGCAACAGCCGATCCCGCAACTAGCATGCGACGCCCCATCTCAGTCCTCAGCCAAATTGTAAGAAAGCGACTCACCATGCGCTAGTATTGGCGTGCAAACGCAGAATTCCAAATACCACCAACACGAACAACGTGAGGCACGGCCCGAAGGTAGGCTTGCCCCTTCTCAAAACTGAAAGGCCGAACGCAGCGAACGAGCTCTCCATTTGGAGTTGTACAGGGCGCGCTCTCATCCTTGGGATGATCCTGGCGAGTTCAACTAATTGCATTCGTTTGCAACCATCTTCTGAATTCAACTTGTCATCTTGCCTCTCAAGGCCTCGCACTCAGGAATCGGGAGCTCCACGGCGATACATTCAGAAATTGTTGGTTGGTTAGCGTGTCGCTCCGCTGGTTCTGGCCCACCACGCTCCGGCGCGACACGCTCTTCTCCTCCTAGCCCCCAGGCGTCAACGTCCCGAGCTTTTCCCAGCCTTGCGGCCCGCGGAGCTGAGCGACACGCTATCCGCTCGCAGGGCATAGCGTGTCGCCAGGGCCGCCGTTGCAGCACGCGAAGGAAAACATCCTGACTGAGCGTCATCACTCCGCGTCTGGCGGCGGCTCGCTCGCGGAGTTCCACCTCGTCCTCGAGCGCCACTCCCCGGCCGGTGGGCTACTGAAACGCTTCTGTGGGGTATCGCGCCGTCCCTTCTGGGCAGGCGGCGTCGGAAGCGCAGACACCAGCACCTTCAGGTCCACCTTCCAGGGTAATTTCGATCCGATCGATCCGATTCGATAATGATTCCGGCTGGCCCGATCCGATTGGATCCAACTTTCCGTAGATGCGATTCGGCCCGACGCTTGCATGGCGCTGCTGCGCGCCCTGGCGCGACCGATCCGATTCGATACCGGCTCCGTGCCGATGCTGCCCGATCCGACTTGCATTGCGACTCGATCCGGTTTCCCGATTCGATGCTGGCTGATCCTGCCTTCCCCTCGGAGGTCTGGCCCGCCTCCTTCTTGATGTTCTGGCTCCGCGGCGGTGGAGATCCCCGATCCTCCTCCACCCTGTGTCGCTGTGCCCTCCGCCCCCTGCGAATGCCTGCCCTCTTGGGGGGCCTCTTGGGGGCCTCTTGCGGGCTTCTGGAGGCCCCCTCGGGGGCCTCTTTGGGGGCCTCCCGGGCGCCTCTTGGCCTTCGGAGGCCCTCGTGGGGGCTCCTCCGGGCCGCCGTGGGACCCCCTTTGGGCGCTGAAGGGCCACCTCGGAGGCCTGTGCTGGTCTTTTCGCGGGCACGCAGGCGCCCGCCAGACAAACGCGGGCGCGACGCACGCGGGCGCGGGTGCGCGACGCCACGCCGCGGGGCGCGCGCCTCTGCGACGCAAGCGGGCTGCGCATCGCGATCGGCGGCCGCCTTCCTGCAGCCCTCGATCGCCCCTGCGGTTTTTGCGAAGGCCTTGTGGCTGGCGCCGCCGCCCCTGTCTGGAACGGGAAGAAAGAGACATTGACAGTGGGAAGTTGAGCAGGATCGGGGAAACGTAAGACTCGAGTACGCCAGAGCTCGCGTTGGTCGACGCTTTTTTTACGAGCGCATCCTGAATGTTGACTGTCGTGTTTTCGGGGGACGTCTGCTCGCATCAAATTCCAGATTGGGTCTCGTCATTTCCCCGATTGCCTCGTCAGGCCAACCCGAGTCCCCCGAACACGAGTCTTATGCCTCCCTGGCAGGAGGAGGAGGAACCGGATGAGCTGGAGAGGGGGAGAGTAAGAGGAGACAGAGTGAGGAGGAGGACACGGTGGGGGCGTTCGTTAAGGAACGTGCCCAGGAGGCTTCAGACCTTGGAGGGTTCCATATCTGATGAGGGCGGCGGTGATACCCGTGGCCAATCCATGATCGGAGTTCCACCGTTCTGCTTCCCTTTGGAACTGGACCCCATGAGCTATGAATGAATGAATGAATGAATGAATGAATGAAAGGGTTCCTTATCCAATGCCCGCACCGTAGGCCTCTCCGAGGAATTTCCCCCCGTGCACCGTCCCCCTGAAGGAAGCCACGCCCCGCGGCCGGCGGCGGCTGTGCAGGGGGGCCCTTTATAGGGCCGCTCCCCTGCCGCCTGCGCTCGACGCCTGCGCATGGCCGCCCATCCACGCACTCACACGCGCAAGGCATTCTTTGGGCGTCGCGCGCCCGCGCGCGGCGGCGGCGCGGCGGCGTTCGAGTGGGGGATCGACTACAGAATTGATTTACCCCCAAATATGTTCGCTCGTCGAATCCATAAACATATGCATGGAGCGTGCGTGGATCTACGAACGCTCTGCGTATGACACGACGTGGAAATCAATTTTGAGGCAAAGCAGTTTCTACTCGAGGCGTAGGTCAGGTCTGGCGGGAGCGCGCGGGCTGGCCCAGCTCACGCAGCGCGGAGAAGCTGGGTCCACACAGGGGATCGGCGGCGAAACCCATGTGGGGGCAGCCGTGAGATGGGGCAGACGGGGCAGGAGGGGAGAGAAGGGGAAAGGAGGGGGAAGGCGAGGCAGTGCGGCAGCGACAGCGGGGGGCGGCAACGGCAGCCATCAGGACGGAGATCGAAGTAGACCAAGGGGGAAACGACGCTCGACAAGTAGTCCAAGAGGGGGGCATCACACACACCGCCCGTTGAGACCCAGGCGGAGACACGCCAGACAAAATCTTGTCGTGCCCCCCTCCTCGGGGCCTGATTCGTTCTCTTTCGCGTCGGCCAGCTCCCCTCCTCCTCCTCATCATCATCATCATCAGCATCATTTTGATCATCATCATCATCATCATTACCGTCGTCATCATCATCATCATCATCATCATCAGCATCATCCTGATCATTATCATCATTACCGTCGTCATCATCATCATCATCATCATCATCATCATCATCATCATCATCATCATCATCATCATCATCATCATCATCATCATCATCCCGAGGGCGAAAGTGCAGCAGGTTACACGATCCTCACCATCCCTCTACGGTTTTTCATATTCAGAAAGTCCAGCACGGGAGCGGGATTCTCAACGCCGTTTCAGCTCTCCCAGGCCCTGTGATGTCGGGGGCCTTAGGACATGCAAGCGGGGGTCAGCCAGGGCTCTGGATCTTGCAGGATCCTGTAGAACCAGGGGTGCATTGACCTGGGCTTGCGCGCAGGATCCTGCAGGATCTTGCAAGACCTGACTGGCCAGGGTTTGCATTGATCTTTGTCAGTAGATACCCGGTAATTGCTTCCACCGAGCGTGCACCGAAGCGGTTGGAGCTCTGCAAAAGCCGCGGGCACACAACTTGCGAGACCCCCCCTGGAGCGTCAGCATCCTTGTGGGGCTGGGCGGCTAGCCGGAGGTCTTCCACCCTCCTTGCTCCTCCCATTGTGTCAGCGCGGCGCATGATCCGTCGTCGCAGCGTCCACCAGAAGTGTTTCCGCTCCCGCCCATGCGCGGCCCACGTAGTTTTCTCTTCGCCAAGGCGTCGGAAGCGGGGCCGCGCACGAGCACCTTCCGTTTGCCAGGTGGAAACGCGTTCCAGTCCCAAATTCAAGTTGTGCCCCATTTGTTTCTTCTGTCGCGGGAGGGAGGTTGGGAATGTATGGGACCCTCTGACTCGCTCGACATGGCTACCTTGACTCCTCCGCCTCCTCCTCCTCCTTCTCAAGCTCCTCCTCCTCCTCCTCCTCCTCCTCCTCCTCCTCCTCCCTCCTCCTCCTTCGCTTCCTCCTAGTCGTCCTCCTTGTCCTCTCCCTCCTCCTCCTCCTCCTCCTCCTCCTCCTCCTTCTCCTGATTCCTCCTCCTCCTCCTCCTCCTCCTCCTCCTCCTCCTCCCTCATCCTCCTCCTCCTCCTCCTCCTCCTCCTCCTCCTCCTCCTCCTTCCTCTCATCCTCATCCTCATCCTCCTCCTCCTCCTCCTCCTCCTCCTCCTCTCCTCCTCCTCCTCCTCTCCCTCTCCTC